AGGAATGTGCTTCAGGCCAATCTAGTGCTTTTTTTTTTTGGTCTACTTTAACACTGTTATTGAATGATATTACACAATGCTGGCATCTTGCTTTAAGGTGATTTTTCCAACATATAGAATACTGTGTTTTTAAGGAATGTCTTCCTCTTGATCTTCTAAACTGAGAATACCAGAAGGAAATCTGCTGCTCTCTTGAAGTCAGCGGGAAGTTTGCTTGCATAAGGAGAACTGGTTAGGACTCTTGACAGTGTTTCACAGCTTGTACAAAGTTCTCCAACATATCAGAGCTCATCTTTTTCATTATTCTTCTTCAGGAAAGAAGCAAGGATGTTGAGGCTTTTCTGGAGCTCCTCCTTTTTTCCATCACTCATTTTGTTCTTCTCGATCAGTTTTGTGATTCGGATGACTTCATTAGCAGCAAACTCTTCTCCCTGCTCCAGCATCTTGCTCATAATTTTCAAGTATTGCTCGGCTGACTTCTTCTCGGTTTCTTTTGTTTTTTCTAAACTCTCTTGCCCCTTTTTCAGGAGGGACTGGCGTTCCGATTTCTCAGTAGTGCTCACAAACTTGCTGGCCAGCATGTCGTACTCTTTCAGGCAGCCTGGCATCCCCAGATAGATGCCGTTACTCTTCAGCCAGCGCTGAATAGCCCTGGCCTTGATTTGGCCGCTGTAAGGTAAGGGATTGTCAAAGTCACCATCCTGGAACAAGTAAAAAACAGGGAACTTTTCCTTATCCAGCTTGTACTTTTCTCCCAGCTCAGTGTTCAGTTTATCACCATAATCTGTCAAGAGAAAACAAAACACAGAGAAGCATGGTATGTTAATCAAAAGAAAAAAATTAAATTAGGATCCTCTCCTACACAAACTGATAAATATTTGTCTCCAGAGTTTCAACACTTCCTAATAACTTCTTTGCCAGGAAATGCCATACGCTGAAACAAAAGCACCCCAGAAAATCACTTCTGCAAGGCAAACCGTCATTAGGTTTTCCAAAGAAAAATACAAGATTCTAAGGGTGCTTTGCTGTGACTGTGATAGCACAAGACATCGGCAGGACCTCTATGCACAAACCCTGTCCGCCTTATGGGAAATTAATAGCCATTTTTTTCCCTTGTTTTGCTCTATCCATTGATTTTATTTGATTTTACAGTTAAATGGATTTTTTTTCCTGATCTATGTGCAGAGAGTGTACATTTATACACTTTAGTTCTGACAGCATGCCAAGCTACAAGATGTTTTGTCATCTTACATAAATTGCATTTATTCCTGAGGACAGAAAACATAACTTAAAGAGATTTCAACTATGCTACTTAGCCAAATCCATGTGTGTTTAGAGATGTCAGCGTGGGTGAAACTTCCCAGTTAGACAATTCCTCTGAGCTTAAATTCTTAATTCTACCTACAAAGCAAGAGTGAGTAAGGTGACAGCGATCCATTCATCACTGCTTTTCTCTTAAAGCCGATTACAAGAACATCAAGTTACGCCAGCCACAGCGCAACGACCACTTTCTGTGCTTTACCAGCAATAAACGGAGCGTTTGCTACAATGAATTAATCGTACCACATTTGCTCCGTTTGACCAGGCTTGCGGCTAAACCATGATCCTTGTAAGGCCTGTTCCCTAGAAATGGACGAAAAGTATTTCTCTCAGCAAAGAAAGAAAGAAAGAAAGAAAAAAAAAAAAAAGACAAGAAGTGCTACGAATGAGGAGGGTGGCATCCAGTTTAGCTGCGTGGGCTGATGCGCTTCATTAACCAGCCAAAAGGAGACAAGCAGCACTCCTACGCTCGCCGCGGGAGGCACAGCGGCAGAGCTCAGCGACCAGCCGCAGCTGGTGCTCTGGTCTGACAGGGCCTGGCCCATCTCATTTCTCGCTACCAGAATTACCTCAGAGCCTGTTTTTATCAGAAATTGCAGTGAATTTTATTTCCTCCACACCCAGCCACACTGTACTCATCTGCCCAGAGCTCCTCACCTGATATTCCCACTTCAGCCACCAGAAGATCTTCACTGGAGCCTGAGCTCTCTGCCAGCTTTTTAAACTCATCTTGTTTCTCACCATACGGATATTGTGTATCGAATTTCACAAGGACAAACTTATGCTTTGGAATTACCTAAAACAACAAGAAGCAAAAAAAAAAAAAAAAGACAAAACTTTAGCATTTCAGCTTTGAGTAATCTTTAAGTCACCTAAGGTTGCTTTAGCTTGTTCTTCTTTTCCTGTGCAATGAGCAGACGCAGAGGGAGAATGGAAATTTTATAATTGTGGCCTTTCAAAAATGACTCACTGCAGTGTGGAGGAAAGACTGAGCTTCGGATGCGTGAGCTTTGGATGCGTGTATTCCTACGGCAGATGATGAAGATGGTACGTGGTAGGCTTGGGGATCTGATAATGCCTTTAATTACACCCGATTTGCTTATGGTAAATCTGATTAGCGTCTTGGAAGGAAGTCAGCTAAACAATTCCAGTGGGACGTGAAGAGGACAGAGGCTGAATCTCATGTCATTCGGAAGCGTCCCAGCACGAGAACTGCAGCTCTTCCCTACGAGAGGAGGCGCGGGGAGGGAGCGGAGATGCTGGAGGTGCTGTGCTGGTTCAGTAACGGAGAATTTGTGTTTTAACTGATTCCTCTTGGCTTGCGCCGTTGTTTTTGAATTTTGCTCTGCTCGGGTAACGCCCTTTCAAACGAGCTTGGAAATGGCATCGGTCACCTGGGCTGGGATTTTGTAATCCCTCCAGGAGAAGACCTTGCAAAATCTTTTTTTTCTAGCGCACAGGGTCAGATTGCAACACAGGTCCCCACCTACAACGTGCACGGCAAGCGCTGCTCAGGCGCTGACCTAACAGCTGCCCGCAACGGTGAACAGAGGTCTTCAGTCCCGGGCCTGCCGATCGCTTTATTTGCTGTCCTGGTAAGAAGCGAGCAGGGCAGGTCTTACAGCTTGGATATTTCTGCTGGTCTTTTACCGTCCCTCTTTCAGCACGCTGCCAATTCAAATTCTTCTCGTTGCAGAAGAGCTGGAAGCTCCTAAGGGCTGTAGAGCGCCCTTACAACACCACAAATGGTTCGTCACGGCAGAAAAATCAAGCGGGGGGCTGGCATGCGGCAAGAAATATTTGCTCATGCCTGAGCAGTTTGTTTAGGGCAGATACTTTTCAAACAGCTCAGCTGATTGCTGTCCCTTCAGCTCATGCTGCTACAGCGCAGGCTTGAGTCCCGCCATTCGACGACTCCCTTCATCGGCGTCTCACCCTCTGCCTCACGCGGGGCCTGCGGCACCCTCACCGCACCACCTGCTGCTGCAATCACAATCCTGCCACGCTCTAGGAAGATACCTTCACTTCAAAGCGATTTAGTGGAGAAAAAACACCTGTGCGAGACCTCGGTCTGGCAGAAGCCTGTTGCTTTCTGTTTCATGAACAACAAAGAAGCGAAACCGGCCCAAGCAGAGAGCGCTCGCGGCCCCGACTCGCTCCCCTGCACCGTCCTGCCCCGGGTCACCGGCCCGGCCAGAGCAGGAGCC